AAACAGAAAAGGATGAAAGAAGCAGGAGGCACCTAATACTATTCTTTAGTCTAACAATAAATAAGCTTATGGGTCAGAGGCACTCAATATCCATGAGTTAAACTGGTCATCATTGGTCACACCTCTTCCAGCCCCACATACATTTTGCCCAAGCAGTGAAAATAAATTCCACAGCTGCTTATCCAGCTACGGAGAGCTACTTTCGTGGCCAAGAGCAGGTGCTTCGGTGTCTCCCAGAGAGCAAGCCTGTGTGTCCAGTACACACATAACTTCCCCGGAAAACCTGCCCGGCCCTAATGCGATCTCAAATTCTCAGCCCCAGTCCTTGTCATACCGTGTCAGAGATGGTCAGACGAACGTCTCCACCTTTCTACTCCACTTGCACCCCTTCCTTAGTGCATGAATTGGCGCGGCCCATCTCGTTCCCCATGCTTTGTGCCATTTAAATTTAATCGATATGATTCTAGCATCTTAACGCGAGCTTTCCCGTTTGATAGCTTGCTTGGACTGTACTTGGCGATAATGCTACCGTTGCATTAAATTAGCTTCACAGCTGCTTAAACTTTTAACAATTTTCAAGGACGCTTTCATCTAGGACCACCGTTTCCATCAACCACCCAAGAGCCGGGATTCGCTTCAGGAGACTGGCCACCAGCAGCTGCTACTTTTCAATCAGGTTCCATTTCAACCTCACACGGAGGAACCTATTCAAATGCCTCCATTTCGGTAGCCTTAGGCGAACTAACTTCCTGTGCCAGCAGCTTTTGTCTGCCGCAACTGGCTTCTTTATTTAACAAATTCCCTTTATCTCCCGCTAGAGGCAAAGCGCACTTGGCCCCGGGAGGCCAGCAATATTTACTGAAGGCCCTCCCCGTTTCCTGCCTCCGTCTGGCAGTTGTCTGCCTCTCTACACCTTCGGGTTAGCAGCCCGGTCCTATTTTTTCCCCTGTAGCCACCAAGTTTTCTGGTTAGTAGGATTATTCAGAACAGAATTAAACTTGTCCTTTACCCCAAGGTTTGGACGCTTGAAATCATTGAGCAAACCCTATCCGCCTCCCACTTCTGAGTTTTTGAATTCAGGCTGTGAAATTTCAGAAGTTGGGAAAATTCATCCCAGTGAACTGCTTTCCCCTCAGGTACAAACTGAGGTGGAAATACAAGCTGAAACTTGAAGAAAAAGTGAATTTAAAAAAACAAAAAATAAAAAAGCTACTAAAATATGACATTGTAAGTAACAACTGCTTTTTTGGGAGGAAGAGGGAGAGACCATGACTTGGAAGGGAAGGGATGTGAAAAAGGAGAGGCTGGCAGGTGAATTTTGCTATTTCTTTTTGGCCTTATCTCCTCCTATTACACGAGTTTATATTCGTGGTGGTCCCGTGACCAAAACCAAGGTAACTCAAAGGCTTCAAATTGGATTTGTACCTCTCCTACTAAAGTTTTTTGGCAACTTTTTCCAAGCTTTTAGGGTGGCTTTATTTACAAATTCTGAATTTTTCTCCAATACTTGTTAGTTCTATTCTCAATAAGCAGTCTTTCACCTTTCTAGGTATTAATGATGTACTTTTTAAGTTTTTAATGAACATATTGACTGTAGTTTTTTAAAAATCACTATTATTTAGTGGTGCTTATTAAATGAGCCAGTAGCAATTTCAGTAGACATCAATGTCACCAAGTGAAATCAGCACAAACAAAAGGAATGACCAAACCAAAAACTTTGCCATTTCAAGCCAATTCTTTGTTTATAATTTAAAAAGGTCTTAGATTTACTTAAATGACAAAATGTTAGTAACAACATCATTTATAGTGGCCATTAATCAAAGTGGAAACAACTTAAATTTTGAGTTGTAGTACATCATATATACTACTACTCAGCAATTAAAAATGAGTCAGAGCTAAATTTACTGATGTGGACAGCTATGTTTTTAAGGTATCAATACACAGGCTTATGAAGGTTTCACATGAGCAACACTGGTTTCAACATTCACCCATGTTATCAAGTCCCACCCCCCGCACTCCACTGCAGTCACTGTCCATCAGCTTAGTAAGATGCTATAGTCACTCCTTGTCTTCTCTGTGACCCCCCCTACACTGTATGTGCTACTCTATGATGTATTCTTAAGTGAGAAAGCAAGTGCCCAACAAAATGCTTGACAATTCCTATATTTGAATTTTAAAAAAGTGTTGTCTGTGTCATTTAATGAAAATGTCTGGGAAGAGAACATCAAAGTTATGCAAAGTTAACTATCTTGGTTTATTATTTAGTATTTTACATATAGCTGTTTTTTTGAAAGGGAAGGACAGTCACTAATGTTAGAAGAATCAAAAGACTTTCCCTTGTTTATCTGAAGTTCACTTTATGTTCGTCCAATCAGTAATGTTTTGATGGAGAATATTTAAGACACCATCTCAACCTTGGTAATTCATTTAAGGAAAATAGGGAATCTTGAATGCAGTTATTAATTACAATTCTTCCAAATTCTGACATGCAGAGAGGTTGAAGATATAATGGTAAGCATAAAAATAAAGCTTTCACAAGAGATACAATCCTGTCACATTGTACCTGTAAAAATTCACATACAAAACTACCCATATTAAATTACTAAATATCAGTAGAAATTGTTTATAGTGCTGACAGGAGTAAATGCTAATAGTGTTATCACTGAATAGTAGTTGTTACTGGATTCACTTCATTGTGTATTTATTATTCAAATTTGTTTATAACAGCAAGTTTTTATTTTTGCAATCAAAAGGTCTATCTTTTTTATTAAAAAACATATCAAGGCTTTCTTTGGTTCCTTAATGATTGTTGGTTTTACTGTTCTCCACCTGAGGTTTTTCATCTTTACTCTTAATACCCACCTATTGGGTACAAGTAGTACATGAGTGGCATTTCCAGAAATGGCTAATTTCCAAAAGCAAATAAAACGAACATCAGGAATCAACTTTTTCTTTTCAATCTTTATTTCTTCCTTTCCCAGTACTTACAATAAACATGCTAGGTGCTCATCCACCCTGCCAACTCAAACGTTCTTAGCCGTTCCTTGCCTATTCCCAATGGTTTAGAGGCGAATGTCATCCAGAGACAAGCAGCAATCAAAGATATAAAAATTGGCACATGGTATGGTCCAGTACTGTGAATCTGGAGTTCCCTAGAATCCATCATTTTGCAATAGCTATTCTAAGATTCTAGGGTATGGCTCACCATTTAGTATGTTTTCAAATTTTTTGGTAATTCATGTTCAGCTATAATGAATAATTTTATAATAGTGTCATTATCTTTAAAAGGAAAAAAATGTAGTTTAATCTGTAAGAATCTAGGTGGCAGAACAGAGAACCCGTTTTTCAAAAGCCACACTCAAATCTGCTTTAAGACTAAAATGTGGTCACTTAATTGTTTAGTCAATGCTCTATTATCTACTTGGTCCATATGTAGTGCTTGGCATAAACCTCAAATATTTCAAGAGTTGATGTTGTCCTTAGTCTTGGCAGGAATTATTCCCAACGTCCTCTTTTGTCAAAGGTCTAGATAGTTCGAGTGGATTTATTGAGCCACATTGGAAAATCAGGGGAACGCTGAGGGATCAACCAGAACTGGGCTGGTTACGCTCTGCACCTCTGCAGCTTCAGAAAGCTGGGGGTTTCCATGGAGAGCAAGGTGAATGAACAATTGCTCCGGATCAGATGATTTTGGGGCAAGTCAGGACGGGAAGAGGACAGTGCAATGATGATTAGTATAGTTTATTAATGCCTGGTTAGCTCCCTCTAAGGTGAGGACATTATTGATCTGAATAAAAAGTTTATGTACAACAGCCTCAGAATTTACTTATATATTGGTCTCTATACGATCTTTTTAAGGGATATTAATATCTTTAGACTCATACATTTTAACATGTTAAATTCTGCTTTTGTAACTGGTCTACAAATTTAAGTTTTTGAATAAAAGCTGGCATAAAATTTTTTTTAATAAGCTTATTTTAACATAGTCTGACAGGGTAAAACCACCGAAAAGCGGTCACAGAACCTTTTGCGTATGTGCCTTAAAGGGTGAGAGCTGACCCCTCCCCTTTTCTCCTTGTTAACTCCCTCTAACTTCCACTATTTGCCTTCTCCCTTGGCTGCCCTTCATTTGAGCCTCTTTGCAAACCTGAGAGCTCTGCTTATCACTTCTCTGCAGCAAATCTTCAGGTGCGACACTCTTCCTTAACTGCAAACAACCATATTTTGTTTCAATAACATTACACACACAAGAAAGAAATACGTTGTTTGGGTTTAATTCATTTGTCACCTAGCATTGTATACTTGGTTACCTTTCCGTTACTCATTTCTCAGTTTCCCAAAGGTTAGAAGATTTCAGTTCTTTCCTCCACACACACCAAAAACTGTAAAAAGAGCCCCAGGTTTAGGCAAATTTTACTCACTGAACTACTAAGTAAAATCAAGATAGATACAACTAAAGGGAAAATGGGTGTTTTATTTATCTGCTTAAACTTATACACCAACCAGCCAGACTGGTACTATTATCATCATGTATCAAAATAGGAAACATCATATAATTAGGAGTTACAGTAAAACAGCAAAAGGGACAAAGGAAAATATGGAAGCACATTAGAGCTTAACCCTTTATCTGAACAATTAAGGTTTTTAACAGGTAAAACCTCCCAATCCCAGAAAATACAAATAACCCTTTACCACATATCTCAGTACTTTTATTTCCTATTCTTGAGGTTAGATTCTAGATCCCAAAGATACCCAAACTAGTTATACCTGGTCATCTATATATATAGCCAGACATCTTTTATCATGTCCATAGCAGGCAAGTCTACAGAAAACCTCTTTGATTAGGCTGCAATCAAATCCCTTACCCTCCACCATTTACACTATAGGCATAATGAGATGCAGGATATCAAGGCAGAGAAACCAAACTCTTAAAGAAGAAAAATCCTGTAAGTGATACTGCCTTGCACTGCCCAAACTGAGACTGAATAAAATACCCATTGTCACACATCTTCAGGCTGTAGGTTCATGGAGTAATTTGGGAATACATCTATGATCTGCTGGGTGCTAAAATACTTAGTGGTTTGCTGTATTACATTATGGCTTTCCCCAGCAGTTTCCAAAGTGGCCTCCAAATCACTGACAGAATTTTGCTGGAACTGGATCTGGGGCTGCAAGGATTCTTCAAAGCTGTGGTACTGATTGTTCCAGGCCTGGTTGCTCCAAGCCTGGCCATTCCAGCCTTGTGGGCACCAGGTCTGGCTGTTCCAGGAATGGTTGCTCCAAGTGGGGTTATTCCAGGTCTGGTTGCTCCACATGGCAAGGTTTCCAGAAGCGTTCACCAGGTATCCCTGGTGGTAGGAATAGACGCCTGGATATTCTACAGTTGCTGAGCCGTTCTGAAAAGAGAAGCGTCAATTAACTGAATGGGTACAAGGAAAAATGGAATGGACTGTGGCTGGGTTGCATGCTTTAGCAGTGGTCCAAAGGAAAGTCACTAAAGGGAAAGAGCAGAAAACAAGTTTCCCATTACCTGGGCCATGCCATCGCTATTCCTTGGCCAGTTGTTTTTCTGCCACCTCTTACATTTCATTCTCTGGTTCTGGAACCAGGTCTTAACCTGCGGGAAAAAGGTGACAGGAAAACATAGAATACCAGTAATGCAGATGTACTATGGATCAAAAAGCATTGTTAATGTTTTGTTTTGTTTTTTCCCCTCAACAACTCCAACTGTCTAAAGCTCAGGAACAAAAATTGAACTTCTAGAGTCCTTTTTCTTATATCTTAAACCAATGTTCTATGACAAGCCCCTCAAGGCAGTTGGCTCCTTTTTAATAAACCTAACCAGTTATAGAAGACACACTGAAAATGTACTAACTAGAAGCTCACATTTAATGTCTACTCATCTCCCTTTTCATAAAGCCTCGAGTGCTGTTAGTCAGTTATAGGAAATTTGTTTGCAATAAAAAACACCCCTCCCTGAAGCATGTTTAATGTGGTAATAATGGTATTTCCAGTTGGTTTATAAAGTTAAATTAGAATATGAAATCACAGAAGGACTGGATGTATGAAAATGTGTGTGTGTGTGTATTAGAATAGAAGTATGGAACCAGTGAGAAAAAACACAGAATGTGAATAAAATGGCTGATTAACTTCATTAGTAATCAACTGCAAACAGTTCAACACAAAAGACGCAATAGGGGGTTCCCCAGGGGAAAAGGGGTAAATAAATTATGACACATTCATTCATAATAGCCTACTTAATGATGGTCATGAAACAAGTTACAAAGATTCTACTTTCACATTAAAATTACTGTAGATGGGTACATAGAAAAATGTCAGCTATGCTCATCTGCAAATGAGCCTTTTACTTGTATTTCTTATTGCAACACCACCAACCAGAACAAAGCCCACCTGTTTGTAGCTAAGGTTCAGGATGTTGGAAAGTTCTTGCATCTGCTGGAGGCTGAGGTATTTCTGTCTCTGAAATCTATCATTGAGTACACATAGCTGTGTCTGAGAGAACACAGTTCGGATCTTCTGCTTTTTGACCTGGACTTTGTCTTCCTTGCTCACTGGGCTTTTCTCCACAGGAGTGGGTAGGAATTCCACTCTGGGACTGGTGGAAGAATCAGGGCTGTGCTGAACCAGCAGATCCACGGAGAAAGGGAGAGGAGAGACTGCTGGGAAAAAAATGGCATGTTTCTCCAACTTTTCAACTATTAAATTGTATTCACAGCTTTTTTTTTTCCAAAGGACTTTTAATTAAGTCCTCACAACCTCAGAGCTAAGCAGTAAGTAGTAACTTAATGAACACTTTGCCAACATTTGTATGATGCCACTAGTGTCACCATTTCCCATATGAAGACATGGCTAGGGAACAGAGTGAGACTCCAACCTCTTAGACAACCACCTTTTACTGTGAATGGATGTTCAAGAGCCACACCCTGGCTGTTCAAAAGGTGGGACAGATCACCTGAATCCCACCTACTGTGTTCCCTCCACAACTTCCTTTTGTAGACTTAATCATCACCTATATAATTTTTTTAACTGCAGGATCAGATTCTGGGGAACCCTATACAATTAAGTTTTGTTCTAAATACCAGGACTACCAGGAAATGTGAATTGTGAAGTTTCAATCCAGACTTTCCCATTACTACCTCTGTGACCTCATCTCCAAAATTATTCCTCCCTCAGACTTTCTTCCTTGATTAAAACAAAGGAGCAGATAAAATTGCCCAGCACATATGCTGATGGACAGTGACTGTAATGGGATTTGTAGGGGGGACGGACGACTTGGTGTAGGGGAGAGCCTAGTAAACATAATATTCTTCATGTAATTGCAGATTAATGATAACAAAAAAAAGGGGGGGATTACTCCCTGATAGGATAAAATTAACTGCAAATCAATGATTAATGCATGCTTTACATATCCTTAATTTTGATCTTTTAAAGGCTGTCGGATGATCAGCTATGGAAGTACATTTTTCTGATAATATTTCTTTCTCTTTAAAAAAAGAAAAAAAAATTTGCCCAGCACAGGAACTGGTATATACTGACTTTGTAATTAAGAATTATTAATTTCTTATATTGTCTGGATTTTGTAGCCACTTGAACTCTTAACTTCCCCCGAGGTATCTCCCCCCAGTGCTCGGCTCCCTTACCTGTCATGGAATAAATGAACAGCCTTTAAAAAGTGAAAAATCACTGTCTTGTGTTTCTTGCAAGTAGCTCTAAGAAGAAAAGAAAGTCCTCAACTAATGGCTAAAAGTGGGGCATCTCCTAAAAAATAACTACACAAACTTGCAATTGGCCTGCTAAAGACATACACATCCCACTCGCTCATTTTCAAAATATTCCTCCTACAATCCAGTTTCAACGTTTGAAATTATAAAAGGACATTAACCCAAAGTTAGGAAAACAGGGTAACAGTAACATCTAACACTTTCAAATAACAGCAATTATTTTGTTAACTCATTCCTTCTTCGTAACGTTTACAATTGCAATCTTACAGGTTTTCAAGCTATTTTTCTCGACCATTGAAATAATGGCACTCAGGTAAAAGTTGGTTTAGCTTTTTTAACAACTACTGCCGAATTGATTTTTCAAAAAAGCGGTCCCGGATTTACACTGTCTGAGCACCCCCCCACTTTCCAGGTCCTGTTTAGAAGTTTTAGTACTAGAGTACAAGTTTTGAAGTCAAACTGGATTTCATATCCAAGCGCCAGACACCTGTTTGACTGTCAGCCGGTTAAACCTCCTGGAATTACCTACCATTAAATGGGGTGAACGCTTCCTTGGGATTTAGCACACTCAGGTACAGCAGATGCTCAAAAACTCAGAGCACCCACACATCCAAAGGGAGAATAGCCAACTGCAACAGTTATATATGGCGTGGCAAACCATTTCAATAAGGTGTGACTATTATGTGATTCATATAATTCACCCTTTCTGGCACTCCTTGAGTAGGCAAAAGGAAAAGGTGATGCTCACCCCGCCCCCAACCCCAAGCTGTGATCTTCTGACTTCTGGCTTGGTAGTAACATGTATTGTTACTGTACGCCAGGACCTGTAAAGGTTTACACAGCAGCTCATTTATCAAAACATATTTGGGTTTCCACTGTGCCTATGCACGTAAGCGCGGAAATAGTGAACGGCTGAATTGCTGTGTCCCTTGCCTCTCTGTCCACAAGTCTGATCTGACACCTGGCACACATGTGAAGGGCACCGCACCAATTTCCACTGAAAGAACAGGTGTCCAGAGATGAGTCCGTAGTGACACCTAATGAGCTAGAGATACTCACGAGAGAAATGGTTGACTCTTACCCCACCCCTTTCCTTCTTTCTCTTTGTCTCAAGGAAATTTCAAGGACTCAGTTTTCTCTTACCCATCTCCACGTGGGGTGTCTCAGCAGATGACATTTGCAAGGATGCATAATTTTCTTCAGGCTCATAAGTCTCGGGCACTGGAGAACGGTCCCCTGAATTGGATGCCTCTGGACAAGGCAGGCCCTGGGGAGGAGCTGGGTCCACACTCATGTTGCTGAGTTGGGGGGAAAGGAAAAAAGCGAAAGAGCTAGATTGTCAGCAAGGCCCAGGCCGGAGTATCCTGGTGGAAGGGCTTAGAGAAAGAGGGCCTCCAAAAGCAAAAGCACCAAAGAGAAGGACAAGGTGAGTCACCTCTGCTGTAACCAACACCAAGCGGCCTAATCTAGCTAAATGGGAACAATTTTGAGGCTCTAGATTTATAAGGAAGACTCCGCCATCCTGAGACCCGCCCCTCCTGGCAGCCCCACGCCCACACACACCCTAGCGAATTCTGTTAATCCCGTCTGCCAGTCTCACCCAGGCCATTGTAATGCAAAAAGTAGCTGCCGGGTAACCCAGACCGGGTGGGGAACGGGGAAACTGGGGCCACAGAACCTGCAGGAAAAGCAAGTCAAGCAATTAAATATTTCTGGGTTCACCATTTTTCCACCTTTTAAAATCAAAGATGCACCTCCTGTTCTTGAGGCTACCGCAGATGATTCAAAGTCCCACTAGGACAATTAGTTTCTTGATTTGATACCTCTTAGGATCTCAACATTGAACCAGGAACTTCTACTACAAACAGCTCTTTCTCTTTGATTCACCTTAAGGTCCCAATAAAACAGACTGTTACTGATGAGGTATCGGTTGATGTTAAAAATTATACTTGTTTTCAACTGGTTTCTTTCTTGTTTTTTAGCATGCAGAAGAATAGGCAGGTCTTCCTGTTAGGCAGAAAGCCACCTGCTCATATCTTGTCTTTCTGCCTAACATTTCCACTTGGACTTTTCTTGTTTTTAACAAAAGCCAGCTGTGACCTGCTGACCAGAGACACTTTACTGCTCTGTTAGTAATTAGGTGTCTAAGGTTACGGTGGGAGACTTTAAATTAATTCTTAAACCCAAGTTACTGGACAGAATCTTGGCTCGATTTCCGCATCTGTACCTCCTTTGTGTTGTAAGAATGAAAGAAAATAAAGTGCTAAATACTCAGCATATTTGACACACTAGTGACCTACTAACAGTGGCTGTCAATAGATATTCTATCAGGATCCTATGCCCATGACCTCCAAGTTTGAAATTTCTTTTTTTGTGATTTTATTTTAATCCAGTGAACATGATGGAATGAAAGCACCACCTTCCTCTTTTATCTGGCACATTATTAGGTGTCAAATAATGAAATTCATTGACCAGTAAACCAAAGCAACCAAAAGGAGAGAGGTAAAGAACATACTCTATGTGAATTATGTCCTGTTGCCAAAGTATTTGTGACAGCTTCCTTTGAAATAATGTTTGGCCTCCTGTCTATCTCTCCTTCCGAAGCAGTCATCTTCTACTGACGTTCCCCACACACACCCCGCCTCCCCCGTGGCTCTTTTCTTTAATTAGCTTTTTCTTCTCTAGCCTGCAGACCTGAAGTCCCCTTCATCGCCACTGTTAATTTTTTTTCTCGGTCTGTTTTCCAATGGAACAGTTGTGAGAGTCGGGTTCCGGCACTAACACAGTTACCGACAAACATAGTGACCTACAGCTTTCGACTTTACTCCCCAGTCTCAAATTCGACATTCAAGAAACCTCAGCTTTCTTTCTCATTTCCAATTTCCCACCTCTAAAGGATATTCCTAGCAAATTCCAGTTAAATATTTTTCTAAAATACAACCCTTGACGAATCCTGCCTGCACTCTGGTACTGGGGTCTCCACCTAGAGCTGCTGGCTTTGCTCCGGTGCAAAGTGACATTTGTTCACAATGCACAGACGCCAACTTGTGCGCTTAGGAGTATTGCCCAGTCCAAGGCAAGGGGATGAAATTCTATGGCATCTTTGGTCTTCTCAGACCATCCTTATGGAGGGGAGACGAGTAGGAGAAGGAGCTTCAAGGAGAGGGTGGATGGACATACATTGTACTTCAGGGCAGGCAGTCTCGAAAATATGATTTCCTTAAAATGAATTTTTATGATCATTATTTATTATTCTATTTATTATTTGATTTTTAAAGAAATATGGTTATGGATGTTAACTAAACTTACTCTGATAATCACTTGGCATGGCCACATACCAGATCGTGTTGTGCACCTTAAACTAATACAAGGTAATAGCAATTACATCCTAGTAAGACTGTGGGGGGGGGGGGGCAGCAGGAAATAAAAAAGAGTTAAACTTGGATTCCTGGCTCTCAATTAGCACAGTTTGGTGAATGAGGGCAGTCAAGGCCACCAAATACTTCACTTTGCCTGCAGCTCTCTAAACTGCAGGTACGAGAAGCTTTGTTCTTTTGGCGACGCGGGTGTTTGCATGGAAGCCTGGGAAGAATTCCCCCCTCCCCCCCTCCCCCCCGGCGTCCTATTGTACCTAGGGTGAGAGCCTCCGGACTGGAAGACCAAAGGGAAGGGGGCTGGTAGCTGGAAGGCAGACTTACAACATTCTTCGTCCGGGAAAGCCATTTGAATAAGGTTGAGAATGCTTCGGAAGCTGTCGGAGACTGGGTTTCTCGGGGTGGGTGTGCGCCGGGAGGAGGGGTGTGTTTAATGCGCTAGAGTCCAGAGCCAAAAATGCGAGAGTGATTCGGCGAAATCCTGATTTTAGGTTTTATTTTCCTAGGAGCATCATTTGACAAAGACGAGGGAAAAAACACAAAAACGCCGAATATTACAGATGCAAAATATTTTACAGATAAGGTTTATTCCCCCGTTATAGATAGGAAATGTACTTTCGGCAACACCATCTTTTTAAGAGCGCAAGCCTCCCAACTTTTAGGCAGATTTTGCTGACTTGGCAAGCTAAGGAGGAGGTGACAGTCATCCCTGGTATTAACATAGACTTCACTGTCCCTCAGTTTTAAGGAATACTGTATACAGCAAACGTGGAATTATCAAAAAATTAAATTTTTTTTATTACACTCTTACGAAGGTTTCACACGAAAAAACAATGTGATTACTACATTTACCCATATTATCAAGTCCCCCCCATGCCCCATTGCAGTCACTGCCCATCAGTGTAGTAAGATGCCACAGATTCTCTATTTGCCTTCTCTGTGCTACACTGTTTTCCCCGTGTTCCCCCATGTACTAAACATAATACCCCTCAGTCCCCTTCTCCCTCCCTCCTCATTCCTCCCCTTTAGTAATCACTAGTTCTTTTTTGGAGTCTCTGAGTCTGCTGCTATTTTATTCCTTCAGTTTTGCTTCGTTGTTATACTCCACAAATGAGGGAAATCATTTGGCACTTGTCTTTCTCCACTTGGCATATTTCACTGAGCATAATATCCTTCAGCTCCATCCATGTTGCAAATGGTAGAATTTGTTTCTTATGGCTGAATAGTACTCCATTGTGTATATGTACCACCTCTTCTTTATCCATGCATCTACTGATGGACTCTTAGGTTGCTTCCATATCTTGGCTATTGTAAAAAGTGCTGCGATAAACATAGGGGTGCATATGTCTTTTTGAATCTGAGAAGTTGTATTCTTTGTGTAAATTCCAAGGAATGGAATTCCCGGGTCAAATGGTATTTCTATTTTTAGTTTTTGAGGAACCTCCATATTGTTTTCCACAATGGTTGAACTAGCTGACATTACCACCAGCAGTGTAGGAGGGTTCCCCTTTCTCTGCATCCTTGCCAGCATTTGTTGTTCTTAGTCTTTTCAATGTTGGCCATCTTTACTGGTGTGAGGTGATATCTCATTGTGATTTTAATTTGCATTTCCCTGATGATTAGTGATGTGGAGCATCTTTTCATGTGTCTGTTGGCGAAATTATCAAATTTATGATTGATTTATTATTAGTGGAATGATCATATTTATTAGGGATTGATCATTGCTTTTACTCTTCACCCCACTGTTCACTTAAGTTTACCTGAGTATATCCAAATTGATAGGCATTCACTCATTTTCTTTTTACTTAATTCCCATGTAAGTTTCTGCTCCTATTTCTACACTGTTTCATTCTACCTAAGAAACTCATTATATAAGTAACTGTTCCTTGTCCACATGTGTACAAACATATGTGTATGTATAGTTAGTGATTTAACACGCATTTACTGGCCAGGAACTATTTACTGGTTTATTGCTTACTTCCATTAATAATTAAGGACGGCCTATCATGTGCCAGAGAGCACATCTGTATTTTGAGGAGCTAACAATTTAGCAGAGTAGATCAAAATACATCGAAAAAGTTATAATATTGTGTAATATGTATTAAAAACATACAACAATCCACAGTCTGCCCCAGATGCTGAGGGAGCATAAACAAGGGGAGGTGTGGCTGGAGAGTAAGAAAAGGCTTCTTGAAAGATCTTCAACTGAGCTGAAATGAAAATGTTGAGAACAGGGAAGGGAATTCCAGAACAATCTGGGCAGAGGCAGCGTCAGAAAAGGATAGGTCATTGGAAATTAGGGTGTAGGCACCTGAGAGGTAATGAAGTGACATGAGTAGTAAAAAACTCTAAGTTTTGAAATAAATCTCTCATTAGTTTACACTCCCCTGGTGTTTTACCTACTAACCTGGTGGTTCTCACTCTGTCTCCTTTCTGATTCTTCCTTATTCCCCATACATCTAAAAGTCAGAGTGTGCCAAAGCTTATTTCTGAAACCTCTTTTCTATTTACACTCACTGCCTGGTGATCTTATCCGGTCTTACAACTTCAAGTAACATTCATATGCTTTTGACTCTCAGAGGTCAAGGCTACCGCTCTACAGTCTTCATCCCAGACCCATTCCTCAAACTCAAGTCTCATATATCCAACTGCCTACCTTCAGTTTCCCCTGGGATTTCTAACAGGCATCACAAAATCAATGTTTCCAAAATAAACCTCTCATGCTCCTCCCTAGACAGGTTCCATCCATCATTTTCTCCCATCTCAGCGTATGACAATTCCACCTTCCTAATTGCTCAGTTCAAAGTCTTAAAGTCATCCTTGTTAACTATGCCTTCAAACTATATCTAGAATCATCAACTATACCTCAATTAAAAGTAAATAAATACATAACTACCACCTTCAGTTACAGAAAAGAAAAAATATGCAGAAGCCAACTATTTCCTTCACTTTTTATCCCCACCCATCTGTCCTCTTTCTACTGTTTGAGTGGGTTTTTGATCATCACATGGGCTAGGGCTTGGAGAACCAGCAACGTCACAAGAAATAGTTTTATTTTTTAAAGAACACATGTTTATTTTATTATTGCCTAAGTCACAGGACAGCTGGGGCCTTGCAGTTACCTGTGGCCTCTGGCAAGAGACTAAGCTCACACTGGCAAGTGTGCCAGCCCAGCTGCACTTGACCTCTCCAAGTATCTCCAAGGCTACTGCTCTACAAAGCACCACTTACAACTTGGATTATTCTAAGAGGCTGCCAACTGTTTCCCCTTTTGTAATCTAGCCTTCCTATAATTTATCTCAACATAGTGGCCAGAATGAATTTTTGTTAAGACAAGTCACATCAAGCTACTGCTTTGCTCAAAAATCCTCCTTTGGCTTTCTCCTATTCAGAGAAACAAGTCAAAATAGTGAACTACATAAGCTCTTCTCTGACCTTGTACTTTACTGCTGTCTCCTCCTCCCTCATGAAGCTGCTTCCGGGAACATGCCAGGAAAGCTGCAGAATAGGGCTTGTGCCCTTATTTTTATCTTTCTCTGATCCGTTCGTCCCTCAGAAATCTTACCAGTTTGATCTCCCATCTCCTTTAAATCTTTAAAATATTGACTTCTCAATGATTTCTTCCACTTCCCATCCTTCTCCACTTGATTTTTCTTCATGGCAATTATCACCATCTTGCATAATAAATATTCTATGTCTATCATTCATCTATCCAACCATCCATCTATCTATCCATGTCTATTATCTATCATCTATCTATCTATCTATCTATCATCAACTATCTGTCTCATCTACTTATATCATCTACCATCTTCTATCTCCCTACTGCAACTAAAATATAAGCTCTGTGAGAGCAATTATTTAAATCTTTGCTATTTTTGCTCAGTGTAGTATCCCCAGCCCTAGAAGAGTGTGGTGCGTGGACCAACATGAACAGCATCACCTGAGAGCTTGCTAGGAACACATATGGATGGGCTTCACTACAGAATTATTGATTAGGAATATCTGGTTGGGGTTGACTAGGAATCTGTGTTTAAAAAGTTCTCCAGGTGATTCTTTAGCTGCCATTGTTTGAGAACCATTCTAGAACAGTACCAGGCACATAGTAGAAAACTTCAATCACTATTTGTTGACCAAGGAATGGGTTTAAATGAGATATAGGACTTTGCAAGCAAATAGAGAAGTGGGAGCCATTCCTTACATTTAAATATTAAATTGCACTTCAATGTGATATACAAAATAACCCTTAAAAAAAACAACAATGCTCTTTGCTTCATGTCCCTAAGCTGAGTTCAATGAGCCTGGAGCTCTTTTAAAGAACTGACTTTAACTTGAGACAAAGAGTCAATTCTTCTGGCTCCTCTGGGAGATAGATAACTCTTAATTTACCTGTGTTGTAAAGGTGAACCATGCAGCTACCCAGACTGCTGCTGTAGAGATTGCAAATGGAAACACACAGCATCTCTTCTTATTGTGCCTGTTTTAGCTGTGAGAGCACAAACACTTTTTTCCCCCCTTAAAAGAAATTTCTTACTCTGAAAAAACTTTAAACTTACGTAGTGGACAATATGATAAACCCTCATAACGTACCTGTCACCCAGCTCAAGGAATGTACTCACGGCCTATCTTGTTTCATCAATGGCCTTAGCATGAGTGCAAATTTTCAAGCCCAATAAAAGATTCATCTAATATGAAAATATGTGAGACGTCACTGACTCTTTTTCCACCATCCAAACCTTTATTCAGTCAATCAATAACTGTGTCAGGATAATTTTATTTCCTGGCATGTCTCCAGGCTGTGCCCTGGATGTTCAACAACACTCCCTTCACCCCTGTTCAGGCATCATCTTTTGCCCAGACCTTTGTAGACCTCAGGAAACTTTCCACAGACTGAACCAACTGTGCACCAGAGTGGCCTGCCTTCAGCTCAGCCATATTATCCATCTGTACGGATTTCTCTAATTAAGCTCTCAGTTTACTCTCTCTGCCTGCTTCAAGACAGTTTCAAGCTTTGGCAAATTGTTCTACCCAAGCCATTACCATTGTCCTTAATGCTTTTCTTGCCCCTCTTTGCCTGGTTCATTTTTAGTTATTGTCCAGATTGAGTGTCACCCATTCTCCCCTTGAATTAGGTACCGCTTGCCTGTGCCTCAGTCTTCCTGCAACAGGAAGTTAATGCTTCAATTCATCCCACTTTGCATTTTAGTTATAGGTTTTGTGTGTGTTTGGATTCCTGGCTGGAATAATAACTCCCTCAGGGCTTGGTTTGTTACTATGACCTAGTGCTCTGCTACTCAAGTATAGGCCCCCTTTCTACATCAACATCACCTGGGAGCTTCTTGGAAATGCAAATTTTTGGGCTGGTTCTTACCACACACCCACTGAGTCAGAATCCCT